TTGGAAGGCCAGTGAGGAGTCCATTATAATAATCCACCCTGCTGTGGAAACAAAGCATCTAATTCTTGCAATATTTTTCAGATGATGCTGATTTAGTTATTCCTTTAACATGACTACTGAAACTAAGCTCTGGCAGATACAGATTCCTGACTTGATTTTTAGTTGTTAAACCCCTAGGCTAGCATCAATATGCATTCACTTTGAGAACTTCATCTTTGTTTCCAAACGCAATGATTTCAGTTGTGTCTTTGTTTAACTGAAGAAAGTTTTGGCACATCCAACTGTTTTCTTCTTCAATGCATTGGCACAGGGAGTCAGTGGGGTTGTAGTCGTTAGGTGATAGGACTAAGTAGATCTGTGAGTCGTCTGCATAGCTGTGGTAAGGAAATCAAGCACAGTATACTGTACATCGTGTGCATACGTAGTATACAGTTTAGCCTACACATTGCAAGTTTTTTTTTTTTATATAAATAAAAACAATAGATAGAATATAAATAGAATAAAATAGTAAGTGTATTAACAGGTCAAGAGATGATGAAAAATATGTTTCTTCAGCTGTTTCTTGAAAATATCTAAAGACTCAACTGCAAGGTTTGAGTTTGACAGGTCATTCCACCAGCAGGGAAAAGTCCAGGAAAAGGTGTGTGAACGTGATTTTGTGCCTCTTTTAGGGGTTGCTGACACTGCAAACTTTGGTATCGATCCACAGGGCCAGTATCGCCGTTATACTGAGACTGATACTTTTAAAAGCATGCACTTGAACTTACATGTTCTTTCCTGCAGGGTAAAGCAGTGTGTCATGATTTGTAAGGTGAATGCATCAATATGCCAAATCTGAATACATTTTTTGTGACCATTAAATTATTTTGTGATTTGTGCTCTCGAAGTGGCTGTAATTGGTCATGTGAATTGTTACTGCAGTTAAGCCATTATTAATTTTTCAAAGGTCTGCCAGTGACAGGATATTGTACCCCATTTTTTTCAGACAGATTTATTAGCAGCAATTACAAAACAGAACTATCAGTTTAAATCAATTTAATCGCACAGACAAATTATAATAAATGTTACATATACGCAACGCATTCTCACCCCAAGGCGTCACCTTTGACCATGCTTCAATATTTGACGTTTTAGGCGCCCTTTAGCGTCACTTACATGACGCGATCCTACGGCGTCATCTAACTGACGCTAAAGGAAAGCGTCAGTTAGAGGACGCGGTTAGGTTTAGGTGTGGGTAGGGTACACGCGATCCTAGGGCGTCATCTTACTGACGCTAAAGGGCGCCTAAAGCGTCAGATATTGAAGCATGTCCAAATGCTTCCCAAGGCGTCAGTTAAGTGACGCCTTGGGGGTGAGAATGGGCTGATATACGGTACTGTTCAAAAGTTTTGGGTCAGTAAGATTTTTAATGTTTTTGAAGTATTTTCTGCTCACCAAGGCAGCATTTATTTTATCAAATATACAGTGAAAAACAGTAATATTGTGAAATATTATTACAATTTAAAATAATGTTTTTATGTGAATATAACATTTAAAATGTAATTTATTCCTGTGATCAAATGAGAAATTTAAGCATCATTACTCCTGTCTTCATTGTCACACAATCCTTGCCCTGATTTGCAATAGAAACATTTCTTATTATTATCAGTTGAAAACAGTTGTGCTGCTTTATTGTGGAAACCATGATACATTGTATTCAGAATTTTTTGATGAGCAAAGTTAAAAGAACAATATGTATATGAAAAAGTGATGTCATGTAGAAAAGAAAAGTGGTCCAAGCACTGAGCCCTGAGACACCCCAGTAGCTACATGTTGCGACTTAGGCCCCATTCACACTGCAAGTCTTAATGCTCAATTCTGATTTTTTGCTCAGATCCGATTTTTGGTTTTGGCTGTTCACATTACCTTTTAAAATGTGACCTATATCTGATTCCAATGTGAACTGTCTGCATGTTTCAAACTAACCCACATGCGCAAAAGAACAACAATGACATTACGCACTTTACGCAGCACACTGTTGCACTAATGTTCGTGTGGTTATGGAGGAATTAAGCATTTACGCAATTATTTCTAAATGTCTATGTAATGGAAGCTGTAAAATTAATGAGCAGGTGATGATGAGAAGAATGAAGAGAAAGAAAGCAAAATTGGCTATTTATTAATTAGCCCATATATTAATTATAGGACTAACACCACACTCTCCCTCCATTGACTCGCTCCATCACTGTTCTCCATATGTATTCAAGTTTTTAATGTTACTGTCTGTGTCTGTTGTGTCTAGTCCTTATACTCGCCGGCGCATAATTGTGTCAAATGTCAGATGTAGATGTCAGAGTCGCATTAAATCCGCCTTGGTTGTTCACACTGCGGACACACTGAAAAAAATCAGATCTGTATCTGATTCAGGACTACATATGAATGTGGTCTAAATCTGATTTAAAAAGATCAGATCTGGGCTAGATTTGATTGTTCACACTATCTCTGAAGAAGTCTGACCTGGTCACTTGACCCCAAAAAAATCAGATTTGGGCCACTTTTGTCTGCAGTGTGAACGGGCCCTTAGACACTTCATCTCTCCATGACACCCTGAATGAGGGACCTACCTGAGAGGTAAGACTTGAACCACTGGAGTGTGGTTCCTAAGATGCCCATTGTCATGAGGGTTGACAGGACGATCTGGTGATCAAAAACGATCTGGTGTCAAAAGCAGCAAACGATGATTTGGAAGCTGCTCTTGTCAGTCTCAGAGCTTCGATAACCGAGAGCAGGGCAGTCTCGGCTGAGTAGCCACTTTCGAAGTCAGACTGGTTGTTGTCCAGGAGGTTGTTCTGTGTGAAAGGTAGTCTTGGTTGAACATGACTCTACTGACTCAAGTAGTAATGAATGGAAGAAGGGATACCAGTCTGTAGTTTTCTAAAAGTGCTGGATTTAGAATGGGTTTCTTAAGCTGTGGAGTTATCCGAGCCTGCTTAAATGCTGTGGGAAAGGTACCAGGGTGAAGAGAAGTGTTGATAATGTGAGTGAGTGCAGGTACAACTGAGAAGAAAAGGCTTGAAGGAGATTAGCGGGGATAGTATCAAGTGGACAGTAGGGTGATTGGAAAGGATGAGTTTGGAGTCTTCTGCCTCTGAGAGCATATAGAAGGAGGTGTGTGTGTGTTTGAAGTCAACTGAATTTTTTAATAAATATTATATTGTATTTGCAGAACACATTGTTAATTTTGAATGGCCATCAATGTTGAAAAATGCTGTTGTAGTTGAGTATTCTACCATCTTGAGATTAGAGGGTCATGTGCAGGTATACAGTAATATGATATACAATTGTGTTAAAGAAATAGCAGTTCAACATCAGCAACCTGATGAACCATTGTTATTAGTAGAAGTGATATTTCTGCATTGCACAGCTTTTTCACGACATGATGCGATTCAGTTGAAGTATTTGAATGTGTTCTAGACATAGGTTCTAGATGTCACTTCAAGTTTACACTTCCGTATGTGCGCGCAGTTGTTGGGAGCGGCCAATGACCTGTCTACGTCACGATGTAACAGCTAATGACTTGTTTCAAAAACAGAGTCGACTCTCACTTTTGAAAGACAATAACTTATACGGTGCACTTTCAGATATAAATCTTTGCAGGATGTTTTCATTCCCTTAGAGCTATATTCCACACTACATGAACAGTCATTTTCAAAAATCCATGATTGGTGCTCTTTAAAGGCATGAATGTTTCGCTAATCATTATTAAATATTTGAGTCTTTAGTGACCCAGTAAAATGAAGCATATTTTGTTACCTTTTGGATCTTGAAAGGGTTCCGTTTTTAGCAGATGTTTTATATCATCATCAGAGCTCATTTCCCGTACATTCATCATCTGGCTCATATTCGCCATCTCAAACATATTCTCAAAACTATCGTTTTCAACATCTTCAAAAACAATATTTCACTAACAGCTAACTTAAAAAAATTAATAAACTTTTTACATTTTAATCTGAACTACAACATACGATCCTCATCCAGTAATGAAGACATTACATTCCCCCAGTCACAGCCCTGAACCACCACTGAATGGCTGTTGAATGGTAACTTCACTATAGAATAGTAAGATTTTGAAGCCTGAACAAGGGCATCCATCCATCATAAAAGTAATCCATACGGCCTAACGGTTAATTAAGGCCTTCTGAAGCGAAACGATGTATTTTTGTGCGGAAAATACGTATCCTCTGACCTGACGTATCTCTCTCTATAGTCAGACCTAGTGAACAAATACGCTTAGGCCTACTTCACTGAACAAGACTCGAAACATAAACAGCACTGAGGGGATGAGGCCTTCGTTCATGTAAGAAATTCTCGTTCATAAAGAGACGGGATGGGAATGTGTGAAAATGTCGAAAAGTCATTATTGCAACTCTTAAATTAGTGTTTTTTAAAATGTAATAGTTGACAAAATGACTAACAAATGTGTGTTTATTAAGTAAATGTCAATGATTCATTCAGAACACAAAGAAGACCTTTTTTCGTCATGTTTTTCTAATGTCAATAAAAAAAATTATTTGAATAATAATAATAATAAAAGTTTATCAGATGTTTGTAGACAACAGAAGCTTTATAAATGAAAAGCTATTTAACAAACGTACGGGCTATCTGACTGGTTGGCCTCTGATGAAGTAGCCTACGTTCTAGTTTTCAATGTATTTCTTGCAAAGTATATAGTATGGAACATAGACTGCAAAAGGGTATGGAAGAATGCAAGGATCCACACACCTAGCTGCAACAGCAAACAGAAATGTAGGAACGTTTAGTGAACAGATTCAAATGAGTCGACTCACTGAGATGAATCAAAATCCCCACCACTGCTCCTTTTGTCAGAGAGGAGGCGGGTAAATAATCCAGGAGAAATCTGATCTATTTGAATTTCACCAACGCCTCACCAATCGTTATTCTCGGTTGGAGTTCGTTGACTCCGCCTCCTTCAAGGCCACGCCCCCATCCGAGGATCCTCCTGCTGATGTTGTTTTCCTATGTTAGCCAATTAGCATCCTAGCATGCAATTTGAGGTCTGGCGCCTTGACTGAATGGTGCTTACGTGTATTTTAATTTACCTTTCAAATCCGAACCTTACACGAATCAACGTTTGAGAGCACTGTTACCGAGCTTTATAGGTTTTGATTTCTCGGCGGAGCAGAAAGAAGTCATCCGGAGTGTCTGTTGCGGGGTGAGTTGGCTCTTGCTTGCTAGCGGACGCTCGCTAGCTGTCGTCGCCGCAGTGCTTCATTCAGGCTAAAAGTATCTAACTCTAGTTTATGACCCTTGAACCGATTTCCTCACCAAATGGCCACTGAATTACCCGGGTGATGCGAAATTCAAAGATAGCGACATGTTCTTTTGAAGTGAAGCATGTCACAGCACTGATTATATAAGAGTATTTGTCGAGGCTCTAGCTAGCCGCGCATACTACTAGCTTGAATGGCTACCTAAGGTTTTTAAGCTCTGCTGGATTGATCAGTTGCTCAACATGAGGGTCTAGCTATCATTATCTGCCTTTGACCTGTTAGCGATCAGTAACTCACTGGCTTATTGACGTCTTCTGATTGACGTTACCGGCTAACGGTGCTGCATTGATCATTGAACAGTTGTGTGTTTACCGGTAGAAAGCGTTCAGTAGGACTTCCTGATTTGTAGCTAGAAACATTTCACCACATCGAGTGCTAACCAGGCTGCCGTATCACATTTTCTCGGTGTTTGAAGATTTATTAGATGTTTTTTTGCTGGGTTCAGTCGACGCGGTAGTCATCGGATCGGATCATGTTTTTATTTTGGTGTGATCAGATTGTGTTGGACTGAACTCTGCATCGGTCAGAGGCGGTTACCGCTTAACGCCTCATAGAGGTTCAAGAAGCTTTATCAGCTTGATAAAACACGTTTTAATAGCCAGAACATTAGTAAACATGCACTAATTTAAATAGACAATACGTGTTTTCGATCAAGTTATACTGTGTATTTCAGTGTGTTGTAGAGTGCGTGGGTCATTTAGTCAGGCCTTACACACTTGGACGACAAGAAGCTGCACGGTTGGATGAAACGGAGTTTAACCATTCAAATAAAAGTGAGACAACGCACGTGCCCCAGCATGTTTGCCTCACAGTGTAACTGTTTACACACCACTATCCGCCTACACAGGTTTATAGAAACTGTAACATTGTTTAAAGTCTCATGTGGTAATGGCGAAAGGTCAGACTCATAATGCCGTGCTACTATCTGTTAGCCGATCTGTGCTAAGCAACGACAAATGATGGACAGTTTATAACCATGTCGAACAAACATCTAGGGTTATTATTTGGCAGTGGAGTGCATTTGACAGGTGTCACAAAGTCATAAAGTGGATCTCCACTCGGAAGGCTGCTAACACGTTGAGTTTTTAAGACAATGTGGGATTTAAACTCTTTCGGGTTATTATGCATAAGACAATAATTCAGCCAAGCCTGTCATAAACTAATCTGTAGTCCAGAAATTTCAACAACAAAGAATCGACACGCCTGTAGTAATGAGGCATGAATAAGCCAATCTTGTGACTTGTTCATTTAAAATAATTTTTATAGCCATTATTTTTTTGTACTCATCTTGGCAAATTTTAGAATATTAATAAAGTTATTAAAACTATGAAATGGCTCACATAGAAGTCATAGGAAATTATGTAGTGGCTACAATATTGCACAAATTAAAACTACACTGTAGTCTTCATGGTGACACTTTGGGCTTTTCCCTCCTTAACTTCATAAAGTCCCTCCTGGTATGTTTGCTGAACACTTTGGCTCATTTACCTGCAAAATCCAGTCCAATTTATCTATTAAAATAATGTATTTTAGTTTTGTAATGTATTTGTCTAGAAAACTGATCTGTGTGGCTTGTTGCATGAAGCTAGCTAAACAAACTCTTTCAGAGTAGGTTTAGAGTTGACAAAATTATACAAATCCATGCGTAGTTGTTTAGATCTGGTTCATCTGGCGCTTGCAACACTCAATATAAACTTTGTCAACTTTGAGTTTGTGATTCACTCACTTTGATTCACTTCTCGCGAGAGAGCCGGCACAATTCACTTCTCTCCTGAAGATTAAGAGATTATGAAAATTAAAATCAAATTTTTTTTTAAGGCAGGAATAAACTGCCGCTGCAATGAACGTTTGTGAAGGCAGTGCTAAAATAAAACGTCTATTATCATGCAAGTGAATCAACTGAATTTAAATAATAATTTATATTGGTTCATAAAGTGTTTAAAGGAAAATACTTAAGTCTATATTCATTTTAAAAGCTTTATATATTAATTCTTGTATGCATATATTTATATTAATTTAAATGGAAAGTTTAATATTTGACATTTTAACATATGATAATTTTTTATGAATACATTATATTAATTAATAATAATTATAATTCATATAAATAATTAGCAGCAAAAGATTGGCAATTTTGTCTCTAAATTATTTTGCTATTATCTGATTTAATTTGGGGGTTCAGAGGGAGTTGCTTTATTGCATCACATAGCCTATATGTCTTTGCCCACAGCTGATTGGTTCAGTTTTGGTCTCTAATCCAGACTAAAACCTGCTCCCTTGTAGGTTAGCTGTGAAGTGCAAGTTACTGTGGCAATGGACACTGCTAAAAAAAAATCCAACTTCTCGAGCCCAAAACAACAAGAGTTTGCTCAAACTAATCTCAAAATTACCTGACTAGCAAATGAAACCGGCTCCGTGCAACAGGCCTCTGGTTACTGTCTTTAGATTATATGTTCTTTAAAGGAATAGTTTAAACAAACATTTATAATGTTTATATAATGTAATTTACTCTTAGGTTGTTCCAAACTAATTCACTTTTGGGTTTACTATCAGGTTAATATCAAAATATACATGAATTGTGCCAAATGTTTGACTAGTGCATCTACAACTTTCTTTTGAACATTTGCTGTTTTGTTGTTGTAGATTCCGCCGCAGTGAGGAGCATGAGTACATAATGAAGCGGCGCTTGGAGGATCAGGACACAGTGATCGGTTCTCAGCGGCGGCTCCCCGGGGGTGTGGACAGCTTTCAGCACCGCGTCCTCAACTCTGCCTCCCAGTCCTCCCTCTACGAGACTGCACCGGATAACATGCAGCCGTCGTCCAGCATGCAGTACTCTGTCTCACAGACCTATCAGGTACTACAAATAAAAAGAGAACAACACACTTACATTATTTATTACATTATTATTACTTTATTTCGGTGCAGATGTCCATATATATATATATATATTTATTTATTTAATTAATTCTATTTAATTATAATTTTTTTTGTATGTATATATATATATGTATACATGTATATATATACTGTATATATATAGTATATATATGTATATATTGTATTAAAGGGTTAGTACACCCAAAAATGAAAATTAAGTCATTAATTACTCACCCCCATGCTGTACCAACCCCGTAAGACCTTCGTTCATCTTCGGAACACAAATGAAGATATTTTTGATTGAATCTGAGAGCTGGATCACTCTTCCATAGACTGCATAAGGGACTGGCTCTTGACGGCCCATAAAGTCATTAAAGAAAGGTTTAAATATTCCATTCCGTGTGCCTACAGCGGCTCAAATTATAAGTTTATCAAGCGACGAGACTACTTTTTGTGCGAAAAAAACATAAATAACGACTTTATTCCACTATTCCATTACTTCCTTATGGGCGCATGCGCGAGAACTGAGACGAGGACGTTCTCATTCGTCTACTTCTTGTTACCGGCTGCTCACCTCTTAGGAGTTTTACCGCCACCTACCGTATAAGATGATGTGCTGATATAGCTGGAAGAGCAAAACTTTCTGTTTACAAGCAGAGGAAGATGCGCGCTGTACATACGCTTTTCAATTTGCGTATTTTCCGCACTATAAGGTGCACTTAAAAGCCTTTAATCTTCTCAAAAAACGACAGTGTTCCTTATAATCCGGAGCGCCTTATATATGGATCATCATTTTATACGGTAGGTGGCGGTAAAACTCCTAAGCGGTGAGCAGCCGGTAACAAGAAGTAGACGAATGAGAATGTCCTCGTCTCAGTTCTCGCGCATGCGCCCATAAGGAAGTAATGGAATAGTCGAATAAAGTCGTTATTTATGTTTTTTTCGCACAAAAAGTAGTCTCGTCGCTTGATAAACTTATAATTGAGCCGCTGTAGGCACATGGAATATTTAAACATTTTCTTTAATGACTTTATGGGCTGTCAAGAGCCAGTCCCTTAGGCAGTCTATGTAGGACTGATCCAGCTCTCAGATTCAATCAAAAATATCTTTATTTGTGTTCCGAAGATGAACGAAGGTCTTACGGGATTGGAACAGCATGGGGGTGAGTAATTAATGATTTAGTTTTCATTTTTGGGTGAACTAACCCTTTAAATGTAATTTATAAATATGAAATCTATATATAATCTGTAAACATCAGAGAACATGTGTGCGTGGGTGGATTAGAGGGTGACCCGGGAGTGGATTTTCAAACCCGTCCCACTCCCACAAAAAAAAATCCTGTCCCGTCCCAGTCCCACGAAAAAAAACATCCCGTCCCGTACAGTAAAAAAAAGAAAACGGTAAAACTGGGTGGTTTGGATGACACGCGCACTCAGGTCTCTCGTTCACTTTCCTTCTCTGCCATGTGTGAGCGCTAGGTGGTTTGAAGCACAATCTCTGTCTCACATACACACTCGCTCTAGATTCTGGGAGAATTTAACTAATTTGCCACATAAGATCACAGTGGCTCAACAGGTAGATATATAGAAAAACTCATCTTCCAGGCATTTGACCGACCAGGTTGACACTTCAGCGTGAGAAATCGGGGGTGTGGCGTGTGAAACCAATCAAATGCGGGAGTTGGCAGCTATGTATATTACAGCCACCAACTGGTACTGGCGTGGAGCACGTCATTCACTTTACCAGCCTCACCAAAGCAAACAGGAGAGCATTAAGAGACAGGGCAAATAGAATTTATTTCAAAATGTATTTATAGAAACTGTATATTTGTGTATAAAATTGGGTATCAAAGTTTTATTACGATTCCCGGTCCCACCCTCTCTTGCTGACATTTTTTCCTTTCCCGTCCCAATCCCATGATACCTGGTGATTTTGTTTCCCATCCCGCGGTATTCCTTTGGGATTCCTGTAAATATGTCAGCATCTAGTGTGGATGTATAGACTGTGTATATAGTACCAGTCTTATCAAACCTGCATTTATTTGATAAAAATACAGAAAAAAACTATTCTATTGTGAAATATTATTACTATTAAAAATAATGGTTCATCATGCAGCATCATTGCTCCAGTCTTCAGTGTCACATGATCCTTCATAAATAATTATAATATGCTGATTTGATACTCCGTTATTATCAAAGCTGTAAATCAGCATATTAAAATTGTTTCTGGAGGATCATGTGACACTAAAGACTTGAGTAATGGCTGACAAAAAATCAGGTTTGTTTTTGTAATTATATTTTAAAGTATATTTAAATGGAAAACCATTCATTTTTAAATTGTAATAATATTTTACAACATTTCTGTATTTTCGATCAAATAGTTGCAGGTTTGGTGAGCATAAGAGACTTCTTTCAAAAACATTAAAAATAGTAATGTTTCCAAACTTTTTACTGGTATTGTGTGTTTGTAAATATATATTATATATATGTATTTTGCATTAAATTTAGATAGATTTTTTTAAGTTGTTTTCTATATATATTTATAGTTACACTGACACTGACTAAATATTTAATTGGGTTGAAATTGAAATTGTGATTGACTGGAAAAATACAAGGTGTAGAAGACTGTGTGCATTTAATTTATTGAAAGCCCTTTCTGGGCTGTATAAAAATATACAAATGAGAATTCATTCCATAGTTTAAAAAGTGAAAGGACATTTTACTTCACATAAGCAGCCATGATAATTAAACATTTCTCCTTCTGCTCTAACAGTTGTCAATGGCCCAGAGTTCTGGGGGACACGGTCACACCAGCAGTTCAGCTGTGCACAGTGGGCCTCATCACCATGGGCCAGCTGTCCAGCCTGTGGGCCAGGGGCACTCTCATGCTACCCCTGCCCCTGCCCCAACACTGGGCCAACAGCAGTTTCAACGGCTTAAGGTAAGAGATCTGTCTAGTAGAGGATGGAATTTATCTGCATTAGTTTAGATGGAGAGCTAAGATTTCTGTGATTTCAGGTTGAAGATGCTCTTTCCTATCTCGATCAAGTTAAACTTCAGTTTGGCAATCAGCCGCAGGTCTACAATGACTTCCTGGATATCATGAAGGAGTTCAAGTCTCAAAGGTCAGCGTGAGTTTTGTTTTTGTTGAATTTCTTTCTCTTCTTGCGGCTTGTTGTGTTTCTGTCCTTTCTAGTTCAGGCTAGCTTCACACCGTGAATGGGTTGATCTAGTTGTGCAGAGTGCCCTGGGGACTTGGTCTTTGGTCTGGGTTGCTGAGAGAAACCCTTAACCTGTCTTTGTGGTACTATGTTGTGGGACAATACTATGTTATTGTATTGTATGTTATTTTCATCTGAAGTTTGCACATTTTCCTCTAAAATTCACATTCAAATTACTGATTAATTATTTTTGTTTCCACATGTTCTGTTCATAGATTTTAGTAACAGATCGTTGTTAATCCATGATCTGTACGGACCATACCCCACGGTTCAGAACGCATGTGGCCCATGCAGTAATTGCAAACTTTAACCATCATACAGTGAAAGTTATACAATTTGCACGTGTTTCTAAGTCTTGTGATTTTAAACCATTCAAGCGCAACATGATGAGGTTTTTGTGCCCTATTTCAGATAGCGCAAAGAGAATTGAGTTCTTTCATGTCTCCTTGAGCTTGACAAACACAAACTTATCTTAAAATACTTGTCTTAAAGTATTCACGTAAACGCAGTCAGTTATGTCTTAAGTGAAATTAAAGGTCCCATGACATGAAATTTTCACTTTCTGAAGTTTTTTAACATTAATATGAGTTCTCGTAGCCTGTATATTAGGCTGGGTATTGAGACAAATTTCACAATTCGATTCGATTCACAAGCTTGCAATTCGATTCGATTTCGATTACGATTCGATTCAATATCGATTATTTTGGATATCAGTTACAATAAATACCAATTTTTCTCAAGGGAATCAAATCTCTTAAAGGCTGTAAACTATGGTCTATATATATAGTCTAGTTGTAGCCTACTAGGCTTCATTAACCTAATATGCAGGTAATAATTAACTGTTTTGTAGCTATACAAACACTTAAATTACACTTTTATTTATTTTTATAATAAGAAGATTATATGAAATATAAACATTTAAATGGTGGCTGTCATAAAAACTTGCCAGATTTATTTAAATATGCATTAAATATTGAAGAACACTAACGAGTGTGGACTAACGAGTTTATGTGGGTTTTCTGAGGTAAATATGACGATACATGACATTGATTACAAGCTGTTTAATTGACGTCTTTCCACGGTTGAAACGCAGATTGAGCGAATCAATGTGACATGATACGGATTTCGATAAGTTGTACTCGATCTTTTAACACACTTTCAGATGCTCATTCATGTTTATTTCGCGCTGTGACTGGTATTATTAACCCGGAAGAGAGATCAGCGCTGCTGCTTCTCTGGAGCTGCGCCAGAGCGATCTCACGCCACAGCGCCAAAACGGCAAAACGCTATTTATGTTTTTGAATTTCTAAAGAAAATGGACGTAATTTGAAAATTGAGACTTTGTTTCATATCAATAGTAACAAAGCAGGACAAAGATTAGTGCGATTTGTTGGATGTGCGCAGCCGTGATACAATGTCTCATTCATTCAAATGAAACAGGATGACTAATCGATTCTTGAGATTTAAGAATCGATATCGGTTTGTAAAAATGAGAATCGATTAATATCGAGAAATCGATATTTATTACCCAGCCCTACTGTATATGGTCCCCCAGTGGCTAGAAATTTCAATCGGTGTAAACCGAGCTTTGACTATCTTTCTTTGCCTTTGAGAAAATGAAAGCTCAGATGGGCTGATCTTGAATCTCCTCCGTATGATATGGAGGAAAGGTAACCTCTGCTTTGCCCGCCCAGTGAATTTAGCTCGCCCATGAGAAAATGAGCTTGGAAGTACGAACGCGGTTGAGTTTTTCCTCGAGAGATATGTCTTGCAAACGAGCGAAGCATGGCAGTTGATCAGTGTTCGAATGTACAAATGAACACAATGAAGTATTTTTTAGTTCTTTCTTCCGAGCCTCTGAAGAAACAATGGGTTAATTTTATTTTCTCTGTAAATGCGCTGACACAACTTCCCAAAGTTTTGAATGGTCCAAACATTTCACCGACGACTGTTTCCTCAACTTGGGCCAATACAGAACTGGCCTCAATGAATGCCTGAAAAAAAAAATCGATTGATCTACCAAGCAACAATTGCTGATGTGTGTAGCCTAATTGTTCAAGTTCAGACAGGTAATCTTTCTCTCAAAATCATTCAATACTGTTTATGCTTCAGTAAGTCAAGCCAGTGACTAAAATATCAACTTCACATCGTTTCTTTTAGTATGATGAAAATTGTCTTATTTAAATGAACAAATTATATACAGAAAGCGATCAAAGAACAATCTTTCCACACAGGGTGAGTTTATCTGGACAACTCGTTATGAAATCAACGACGCACATTACAGTACACAACGAAGCTCTTACACTATGTGCATCATCGTGTGTCTGCATTGGTGAAAGCATTAGAGAGAGTGCAGAAACTGCATTACTGTTACGTCCCTCTTTTATTTTTCTAGGGATTAAGGAAGCAACATTTATAAAAACAGTGTGTGTAAACAAAGTGCAGGACAACAAGAAAAAAAAAACGTACTCGATCAGAACTCAGCTCAAAAAGGATTTATTAATCCTCATTGCCATTTTTTTTGAAAAATGTATTTGCCACTGGTACAAACAATAAATAAAAACAATAACAAACATAACATTTATCAAATACTTAAAGTGGGAAAATGAGCACGAGAGGTACCCAAATAAAAGAAATCAACAAAACAAAATGAATTATCTAAAGGTTAAGTTTAACTAAACTAACTACCAAACACAAAATGTAGAATATAATAATCTTCGGCGTCAAGACACTCTAACTAAAACTATACTAACTACATAACAAAAACTTACAAAGTGGGCACTCTCCTAAACTAGTGTGTCTAACATCAACAATATCCTAAGTGCATGTCGCGCGACCTACTAACCTGCTCTCTTCCCAGCTTTACACACTCCGTGTAAAGTGATCAGGTTGACATTATAATCTCAAAACACTAAGCAACAATAAACAGCAACTGAAATGTTAGACACACACAGAAACTCATTGAAAGCAAATCAAACAAGCGAACAAACAAAAGTGAGCAAACAGCTGTTCAACATTTGAGTGAGCACGGTCTTTAACTGCAGTGGTGAGATGTGATTGGAGGAGGCGAACCGAAACGTCACCGTCATGATGAAGATTGACAGCAGATTGATCCAACGGACACCTGAAACACACACTACAATAACAACACACCCACATCCATATTGCAACACTTAAATACGTACGAGTACGTAACAATTACAATGATAATATCTTCATTCTCACAATCAACAGACTGTCATCTGCTTGCTGAATGCTCATCACGGCAACGTTTGGGAATAGATCTAAATACTTAAGAACTAAAACTTCTCACTATTCGTTAATCTTGATAACTGTAATAGTAAAAACGTATAATTGCTGTAATAAACGTTTTCGAGAGAGTTTCACATGTAATATGTAGCAATTTCATTTGCAAGCATGTTAGCCAATCACAGCTGAACACTGAATCCCACAGCAGACACACCCCTTCAAACAGAGTGTTCAAAGCAGAGGCTAAAATCAGGCTAGGAAAAATGCCTTTTATTTCTAAATTATGACTATGTTTGATCAAAAAAAAAACAAACATACATTATAAGGGCAACCCAGGAAACATTATAAAATAATAAAATAACCCCATGTGAGGGGACCTTTAATGTAAACAAAAAGAAATTGGATGTTTTGTTATTTTGTATCTGTGCATTAGGTCTTAATTTGAAATGGAATTGTCCTCATTAGAACTACAGAAACGCGACCCAGTCTGGCAATCTTACATAGCTCATCAGATAAAGGCCTGCAAAGCGGTGGCATAAGTGCATTTCACCATGTCAAGACTTGATGAACCACTGAAACAATTTTGAAAACATTAAGTTAAAAATTCTTAGTGTTGCTTTAAAGTGACAGCAGCCTAATAAACCTCCTGCTGTCTGTGTCATTAATGTTAAAGGAACACTCCGACTTTTTGGGACTTTAGCCTATTCACCTTACCCCCCAGAGTTAGATAAGTCCATACATACCTTTTTCATCTCCGTGCGTGCTATAAGTCTGTTTGACGCACCCACCGCTAGCCTAGCTTAGCACAAAGACTGGATGTGAATGGTTGCAGCTTTCATACTAATCCAAATGAGTGACAAAATAACGCAAACGTTTTCCTATTTACATGTTGTGGTTTGTATAGTCACAGAGTGTGCAAATAACAAGGCCATATGAGACACAGACATCTTTTAACCGTATATACTATATTTTCTGAAGGCAAAGTACTGCTACTTGGGCAGAGTGATAACAATCACCTGACATGCACCGTGACGACCGTATATACTATATTTTCTGAAGGCGAAGCACTGCTACTTGGGCAGAGTGATAACAATCACCTGAGACGCACCGTGACGAGGAGCGGAGTGTTCACTCAGTGTTGGAGTAAAGAGTCAGCAATTACTAACGTTAGATAGAAAAGCATAGTTTATCATGGGTGTTTGCTTTATTGTATGAGCTGTGACAATAAACAGGGGAGACCAGGTAATACAGTACCATGTTTCATTGATTTCCAACCAAAAACGCACCCAGATTTATAAATATCACATGAATAAATAATTATTATTACAGGAATCAATATATTTTAAATGCAATTTATTAGCTGAACCAAATGTATTCAACAGTATATAATATACAGTATAATTGCATTACTATAGGATAGAATAAGGGGAAAGTAATAGCACAAATTGTTTTTGCACAATGAACTCACAGCCTATCGTACCCTTTTGCACGCTCAAGTTCGTTATTTCCATGGTTATTTCAAATTTAGGCTACTAGGCGCAGGGTGCAAGTTCAACGCGGTGAACGCGCTCGTTTTTTTTCCAAGCGCGTCCGCACCGCATCAAGATAAAAACATATTCATACCCTAATCATATAATAGTGTCACTAACGTTACATTAGCTCTGGCTAATGGCACTGTTACAGTAGGTCATAATCTAAAAACATAACGGAACACTTACCTCAGCCGCAGGTGATTCACTTGTCCTGTCTGTGCTATAGATGGGATGGCCGTATCCTTCAGCACATTATGGTCCGTGTGGCAAATTCCATTTTTTCAAAATAGTCGTCCATTGAAATGTACCGAGCAAACATAATGTCCCTTGATAATCTATTTAGGTGTGTTTGGATCAATATCCAGAGTAAGTTAGCCATTTCTTCATCCAGTCAGCGTTTTTAGTTGGAATTCTGTGAAACATGGTATTACCTCCCCTGTTTACTGTCGCAGCTATTTACAATAGAGCGAAAACCAATGACTCTAAACTACGCTTTTACTATTTATAAATTGCTGATTCTGTTACCCAAACACTGAGCGAACTTTCCGCTTCTCACCACGGCGTGTCTCAGGTGATGCGGTTATTACGCCGTCAAAGTAGCAGTGCTTCGCCTTCAGAGAATAGTTCCCAGGTTTTATACGGTTAAAAGATGTCAGTGTCTCATTTGACTTTGTTATTTGTACATTCTGTGACTATACAAATCACAACATGTAAATAGAAAAACGTTTGCGTTATTTTGCCACTCATTTGGAAAGCTGCAACCATTCACATCCAGTCTTTGTGCTAAGCTAGGCTAGCGGTGGATGCGTCAAACAGACTTATAGCACGCACGGAGATGAAAAAGGTATGTATGGACTTATCTAACTCTGGGGGGTAAGGTGAATAGGCTAAAGTCCCAAAAAGTCGGAGTGTTCCTTTAATAAAAAGACAGCTTTAACAAGGATGAAATTTAAAGGATAATTCCGGTATTTAACACCTTGAGTCTATTTTGTAGTTTGTTTTGAATGAAATAGAGTGGTGGACTTAGAAATTTTGACAATGGCTCCTGTCTCGAGTTTTTGACTTTTTTTAGAATCACCTGTGACAGCTTTAGACTGGCTGTCTATGGGCATGTCTAACGCTGTCACAGGCGATTCTAAAAAAGTCAAAAACTCGAGACAGGACCCTTTGTCAAAATTTCTAAGTCCACCACTCTAGGTGTTAAATACTGGAATTATCATTTAATTGTTCTTATTTTATTACTGATTGTTCACTTGTCTTTAATAATGTTTGAAATGTATTAATTTAGCAACTTGGAAGTGTTCTTTAAGTAATAAATAGAATGCAAAGTCATATATCCCCCCTTGTTTTTTAGTTTTTTCTCTGGTCCAAAACAATTGTAATATGATTCAATCTATGAGTTTTCTAATGATCTGTTGGACCCCTAATAGATTTGCATTTCCAAATAGGAAATACTAGTGCTTTGCAAGGCAGCAGAAGTGTAATATTTTAAGTTTAGGGGTCAGGCTCTCGATCTGAGTATATGAATGCTGAATTAGAGTTGATCTTCACACTCATCAGTGTTCACCAATTCTATTAAAAAGTACAGTTCTATTAAAAAAACCCTAATAATGGTTAATAATGATGGTTAAATAATCACAATCAGGGACTATTTTTTTAGGGTTTTATTCATTTAATCCATCATTGGAGATTTTAACCATTAACATTCCTACAAATTACCTGCATAATACATAGTTATCAATTATTTTATTATTAAATAACATGATTACAAATTATTTAATATAGTGTTTGTAATGTTTAATACTAAGTGTTACAAGTTTAGAAAAAAGTAATATACATAACACTGTTATGCACTGTTATAATCATGTGTTTTTGGACATTTGGATTGATTCTTAGGACACTGCAAATCAAATACCATAAATCTACTGTCCTTGTGTTGTCAGTATTGATACACCAGGTGTGATCAGCAGAGTTTCCCAGCTCTTCAAAGGTCACCCAGACTTAATCATGGGCTTCAACACCTTCCTGCCTCCTGGCTACAAGATTGAGGTTCAGACCAATGATCTGGTTAATGTGACCACTCCTGGCCAGATCCACCACATAACCCCGCATGGGATCTCAGTCCAGAACCTCCCCATTACACAGCCAGCACAGCACCAGACCCAACCAGCAGCTCCCACCAGCACTGCTGCTGTGGTCATCCCTAGCCAGCCAACCCCTGCCAAGATCAGCAAGGTAAAACTGAATTATTTTACCTTCTGTACAGATTTGGGTTGTATATTTGCAAAGTTGTCTAAATACGTTTTATGTTCCACAGCCAATGCAGTCTCCTGCACTTACCCCAACGAGCCAGCCTAATCCGTCCATTCCCTCGTACGCCTCCCCGCGCTCGCCCTCGGCCCAGTCCCACACTCCCATCAGTAGCAGCACTGCCGGTTCGACCCCTCTACAGAATAACCAGCCTGTAGAGTTCAACCATGCTATCAGCTACGTGAACAAAATCAAGAACCGATTTCAGGGCCAGCCAGAGGTCTACAAATCCTTCTTGGAAATTTTGCACACATACCAGGTGAGAGAGCTGAGGCACTAAGGGCAATATCCATTACAAAATGCTGTGTACAACCAACCTTTTTATTCAGATAAGTGCACTACTGTCAAAGTTTGTGCTCAGTAAGATTGTTCTACTTTTTGTGAAAGAAATTAATATTTCAGTTCAGCAAGGATGCATTAAATTGATCGAAAATGACAGGAATGACATGTATACTGTTAGAAAAGATTTCCATTTCAAATATATGCTGTTCTCCTTTCTATTCACGAACCCTATGACTAACCCTAACATTGGTTATAAGACTTTTTTTTGAGTAACAAATCAACATATTAGAATGATTTCTGAAGGAACATGTGACAATCACAGGACTTTTTTTGATGCACATCAAGGAAATTATTAGGTCGGTCATAGTTTTTCTTATCGTATACATTTTCTTTTTTAGATTTAGATTTTTTATTATTATTTTTTTTTCTTTTTAGAATTTATGTGCATCTTGGCATTTCCATCCATCTTTTTTTTTTTTCATGATAACCCAAAATGCTTAAAATATGTGGATGGAATCATAGCTAATGAAGAGTAATGGCTGCTAAAAGTCCCACCATGGAAATAAATTGCTTTTTAAAATGTATTGAAATAAAACATTTATTTGTAATTAACAATATTTTACAATATTACTTGTTTTACTGTTTTGTGAGCAAATAAATAATCAAAAAAAACAGCATAAAAGACATAAGATACAAAAATTAGCCTAAGAGACTTCTTACAAAAACAATAAAAAGTCTTACTGACCCCAAACTTCTTAAGTAATTTACAGCTCTTCATGCTGCATGCTTACTGTAAACTTTCTGTTCTGTGTGTTGTATAGAAGGAGCAGCGTAATGCTAAGGAGGCAGGAGGAAACTACACACCCACTCTCACGGAGCAGCAGGTGTATGCTCAGGTGGCCCAGCTCTTCAAGAACCAGGAGGACCTCCTCTCAGAATTCGGCCAGTTCCTGCCAGATGCTAACAGTTCAGCGGTAAGTACTGTATTATGAAAACTAAAAATCATGGAGCTCGTTTAGCTGATTATTCATAAGCCTTTTTTTTCCTTCTCCTCAGTTATTGAGTAAGACGACAGCCGAGAAGGCTGAATCTGTGCGAATTGAACGCGCAGGGACGGTCAAGAGACCCCAACCTAACCATAAGCAGAGTTTTAACCAGAATGGCTGTCAGATCCGCAGACACTCGGGGCCGCCCACTACACCTCCTGTTAAGGTGACTTTGAGTAAAACTTGACATTACTGTACTTAATGGCTGTTCTTTTACACTGTTCTTATATACATATTATCAACCAATAATTGTGTTCTTTCTTTTTTTTTTTTACTCCTGAACAGAAAAAGCAAAAGTTTATGGCAAAAGAATCGATGGCTGAGGCCAGCAAACTTGGAATTGGTGCTGAATCTCTCTTTTTTGAAAAGGTGATTGCTTTCAGTATAGTCTTGCACTGATTACAATGGAATATATAACAGCATTATGTTGGTACAGTAAATATTACTAGGAGTATAGTGAGTTATATGGCTTAAATGCTCCACTCTCTTTTTAGGTGAGGAAAGCACTGCGGAGTTCAGAGGCTTATGACAATTTCTTACGCTGTTTGGTCATATTCAACCAAGAAGTGATCTCACGGGCTGAACTTGTGCAGTTGGTCTTGCCATTTTTGGGGTGAGTGGAATTCAAATTAATTTAATCTGTGAAACACTTGCAGACTGATTTTATGAAGCCATTGTTTAATTTGATTATATATAGTTATAACTTAATATAACCAATAAGATTATTCGTTACACATTATTACTTGTTAAAATTGTAATAAATATTATGACCTTTTTCTAACAGTTTTGCTTGTTTTTGGTTTTCAGGAAATTCCCGGAGCTTTTTACATGGTTCAAGAACTTCCTCGGCTACAGAGAGTGTTCCCATATTGAGAGCTTTCCCAAAGAGCGAGCCACTGAAGGCATTGCAATGGAAATTGATTATGCGTCCTGCAAGAGATTGGGCTCCAGTTATAGAGCCCTTCCCAAGAGCTTCCAGCAGCCTAGATGTACAGGCAGGACTCCACTGTGCAAAGAGGTGAGTACACCATTCGGACAACAAAAGGATTTTGTTTCTGAATTCAAGGCTAACTCGGCACTTATAAATCTATTTGGAGGAAAATATCAGATTGTAGGTAGTTATGTTGGGGGGTGTCTATATACCTGTATTGATGATAATCTTGATATTTAAAGCTGAAAGAAGTTACCTTGCCATTGTGGGTGTTTTTTGTAGTCTGCAGGAAGTGTTGATCAGTTCTTTTTATATGATTTTGTACACTTATAGTTAGAAACTTTGCCTCCCTACACTCGAATTTTCAGTGTGATTCATTGGCCAAATAATTTTTTTATTTTCTTTTGTCGATAGATAATAATATTCTTTTGAACACGATAATTGTGTATTGAAATTGTGGTATTGTGACAGCACTATGCTAATGTTGAATGCTTCTCAGGTGTTGAATGATACATGGGTGTCATTTCCATCCTGGTCTGAGGACTCAACCTTTGTCAGCTCCAAAAAGACCCAGTATGAAGAGCATATATATAGATGTGAAGATGAGCGCTTTGAGGTAAGAAATAAAACAAAGCTTCATTGTCATAGAAATCGGTGTAATTGGATATTCAGTTTGGTGCTTAATCAAACATGTCATGTGTTACTAAGCTTGATGTGGTTCTGGAGACAAACCTCGCCACTATCCGTGTTCTGGAGTCTGTTCAAAAGAGGCTCTCGCGCATGTCTGCTGAAGAACAAGCCAAGTTCCGACTGGACAACACCATTGGAGGCTCCTCTGAGGTCATCCACCGTAAAGCTATTCAGAGGATATATGGTGACAAAGCTCCAGACATCATAGATGGGCTCAAGACCAACCCTGCTGTCTCTGTACCTATTGTACTCAAAAGGTCAGCATAAATGTTATTTTCTGACTTCTTCCCAGGAAATTCATGAAAACGATAAAAATGTCATACATTGTTGCATGAAAAAGGAAAGGATTTGGTTTAAAAAAATATCTTTTAACGTTTACCTTGGTAGTTTTCTTTTGAGTATAATGTTTACAGCATAGTACGTTAATGTGGTAATTATTCACTACCATATAGGGCTCCACAGTTTTTCAAATTAAGATCAAAATCTTGAAAAAAAGTGCTCCATGTTGACTTTATCTAAAACATTTCTTAGCTACCAGTTCTTCATTCTGTTAAAACCAAACTAAAGACTAGAGTCTGTCTAGTTTTGCTTTGTGAAAGTGAAGAATTGATGACCAAAATGTATTGCTAAATATAAAGTTAGCTTACTTGCTACAGAAATAACAGTGTGAGTACAAAGTAGACTGATCCAGACCCATCAAATGGATTTCATGATTGATCATTGATTGATTGATTGATTGATTGATTGATTGATTGATTGATTGATTTCAAATTCAAGTAGGATGTGAATGCGAAGAACCATGTTTTTTCCACATTTTGATCCAGTAAGTTTCTAAATAAACAAATAAAAAAAATATATATATATATAACTTAAGTAACTTTTATTGTTCCTGTTATTGGCAGCCAAACTTGTTTGAATATGAGATCTGTTATTTCACTGTAATTATTACGGCTTTTGTTCTTTTCTTTTTTTTTTTATATCCAAGCAGCAGAAATATGAGATGGTAAACCTTTATGTATCGCAATTGGATTTTTTTGTCAAATTGCACAAAAAAAAAGTTACTTTAGGCAGTTCAAAACTTTAGGCTTAGTAGTACCTTAGTAATTTACCAGGTTATTACAATCCTATAGCATCATTATGCACTTTTTTTCAGACAGGGAGAGCTGTCTTATTCAGTTCTTTTATATTTCAGGTTTTCCTCACAGAATTCATTGTGTGTTTGTCTTCTCAGGTTGAAAATTAAAGAAGAAGAGTGGCGAGAGGCTCAGCGTGGCTTTAATAAGATCTGGAGAGAACAGAATGAGAAGTATTACCTGAAGTCTTTAGATCACCAAGGTATTAACTTCAAACAAAATGACACAAAGGTGTTTCGCTCCAAGACGCTGCTCAATGAAATCGAGTCTCTTTATGATGAGGTAAGAAACATTCTAAATGTACATACGCAAATATGAAAGGCATCTTAATTGTTGTTAGGTTGCTTAAAAATTGCCTTTTCATCCACTTAGCGACAGGAGCAGGCTTCTGAAGACAATGCCGCCCCTCCCTCAGGCCCTCACATGACCCTCATGTACGAGGACAGCCAGATCCTGGAGGACGCAGCTGCTCTCATCATCCACCATGTCAAGAGGCAGTCCGGCATCCACAAAGACGACAAGTATAAAATCAAACAGATCATCTACCATTTCATCCCCGACATGCTGTTCGCTCGGCGTGGTGAGCTTTCTGATGTGGAGGAGGAGGAAGAAGAGGAGACCGAACAAGATGAAGACGGGACTAAAAAGCACAATGGGACAACGTCAGCC